AAAATAAATAAATAAATAGCAGTAAATTGTGTGGGATGAATGAAGCTTCTGGGAAGTACACAAACTCGTCGCATGTTGCGTACTGCAACCAACAACTTATGCTAGGCTGCATATTTTTATGCACAAAAATTAGGCTTGCAAATGCGCTCTCTCATTGCTATTTATTTCATTTTCCAACCACAATTATTTACCTGCTTATGCGGCTGTTGGAAATATTTACTTCCTTGTTTGCTTGTAGTTTATTTAAAAACAATTCCTTCCAGTGTTTGAGCTTATGACGAAGCAAATTTGAGTCTCATCATTCACCGAACAGTGTTTACTTCTAATACATACATTTTTTAAAGAACAGCGTATATCACTAGCTTAGAGTGAAAAGTTGCTAAGTCCATTTTAACCAATTTTACAGCAGATGAAAAAGGCATCTTTATAGCCATTTTCTTCAAGTATTTCGCAAAACTTTGCACGTTTAGGGCATAAAAAGCTCGACTCAAATCAGAAGGATTCGATCTTTATTTTAACCGACTTCAAAAAAAAAGAGAAGGATATTTTTATGTGTTACCGCATAACTTTGGTCCACGTCCACCGATTTCGATAATTCTTTTTCTATCGGATAGGGCCCACCTAGGGTAGTCTCATACTAATTTGGATCCGATCATTTGTTCACGAAGAAATTAACGGCACTATGAAGTTTTTATTTTAGACTTGAAGTTGGATGGAAAAAATGCAAAACACCTTCAACGAAAAAAAAATCTCAAAAATCAACGCGATTTTTGACTAAATCCGAACTTGCAGTTAATTACTAGAATTCAATGGGCTACAAAACTGCATACTCAAAAAAAATTCTACTAAATTTCATCTGATTAAAAAGTTGAAAATTTTGATGAAAATTTGCTGAATTTTCGCGAGTTTTGCGCAAAGTTTAAGAATTATATTTTTATGTTTTTTGTTGTTGAATGAACCATATTTTTATACAAAAATGGTAGAAAAGTATTAGAATAAAAATTGTTGCATATATTGTGAAAAACTTGCTGTGCCAATACTTTGTTCCGGCAGTGTATATATCTTCTTTTTTTTACAAAAATATGGTTTATGCTATAAACAAAACTTTATATATCAAACTTTTAAACTGAACACAAAATTAAGGAAAGTTTAACGAATTTTCATCAATAGTTTAAACTTCTTATTCAGATTTAAAAAAAATGCATAATGTGACCAACCGTACTTCTTTCGGAAGTACAGTACTTCTGTTTTAAGCTCTTGTACTTGGCACTTCGCACTTCGCAGTACAGTCAGATGTACTTATTTGGAATATTTTGTACTTCAGGTCCTGTACTTCTCCGGTCTTCTGCATGATTGTCACATATCCTGGGCGATAAATTCGTTCAAACCCTTCAAGTCGTCAGAGACCGATGGCATCATACTTGCGCAGCTGCAAAGTGCTCTGGCGCAATTGGTTGGCTCCAATTTATACGAACTCTCTCATGTTTCCCCTAGGGATTTTAGGCATATCATTCTGTCTTCGTTTTTGCTAAAAACGCTAGATAGACTGATAGACCGGTACATAAGAAACGTGATTCCTCGTGATTGTCTTTCAGGAGCTTAACATCCTTATTACAAGGAAAGGTCGGTGGATACCGTCCTGCGCGTGGTGGAGTGAGAGAGCTTCTGCACTCAGCGCAGAGTCAATAGGGGCACTCCGTTAGGTGGTGTTCTCGCCCCTGGTCTGGATTGCGGTTGTAAACAACCTTCTAGAGGAACTGGAAAGAGTGGGCTCTCGGGTATCGCCTATGTAGATTATGTGGAACTTTTGGTCAAGGGACGATTTCTAGACACCCTTTTTGATTTGGCTCAGGGTTACCTGAACCAGGAGTCCTTCCGCGGCTTTCAGGGAGGGTCAACTACTTAGGCTTGATCCTGTACAAGAAGCTGTCGTGGAAGCCTAACATTGGGGAAAGGGTAAGAAAGGCGTCGGTTGCCTTGTACTGCTGCTCAGTAAAAGGTGAGGTCTCTCGCCAAAAGTAATTAATTAGCTCCATGAAACTAGATATAAGCCTATCTTGCTTCACGGAACCCTTGTCTGATGGAACTCACTATAGAGTAGGCTACACTTGTAAAAGAACTGGAGCGTTTACAGGAGATCGCCCTTATCGAAATTAGTGGAGAATTAGGAACCTAACCTACACCGGCGTTTAACGTCATGTTGAATACGGCGCCTGCGGATATTGCAGACAGAATTGTCGCATCACGAGCTGCTATTAGGTTCAGGGAAATCGGGTGGTAGATGGAAGCATTTTGGCTCCCACTACACTGAGCTCTCAGGTATGGAAATTACCCGTATTCTAAATTTGGTAATCGGCTCGTGGCGCCGACTGAAAAAACCGCGGATTCAGTTTTTTCTATTAAATGATTAAAATTGCCGGTGTTTCATTTCATTTTGTTATATTATACATATAGGTGAGGGCGACGCCTATTATTTTACGTAAAAAGACCGCATGTCGGGGCGACATCTGCCGATGACAGAAGGTATTTCATTCCCTTTACTAGATTTTCCCGGGCGCCATCTGTTGTTCAACTTTATTATCATCTAGAACACAAACCTGCTGTTATCGCCATTATATGTGAACAAGTGACAATTGTGAATTTTTCGTGCTGAGAACGTAAACACCAAATGTCAAAATTTTCTGCTACAGAGAGCGAAATTTTAAATTATATAGGTGTCGCCCTCACCGGTATGTGTAAAAAAATTATAAAATTTTTTACTGAAAATTAAAAATACCGGCATTTTTAACTATTTAGCAGAAAAAAACTGAGTTGTCAGTTATTTAGCCCTTTCAATTTAAGTATAATAATGGCAAGTCTGAGGTAGCTAGGTCTTACCAATGATTTTTGGCAATTTTTTTTTTGTTTTCTCCATATAAAAAAAGAATCGATAACTTTTTATATGCGAGAAAATGAGTACACCTTCAACAAAAAATTTTGTTAAAAATCATTGGTAAATCCTAGCTACCTCAGACTTGCTGTTTTACTAAAACTGAATGGGCTAAAAAACTGCATAGCTCAATTTTCTTCTGAATCCTTAATTCGTATATGAAAATACTATTTTGTTACTTGCTCTAAGCAAAATGTTATAGTTAACTAAATCGATTCGATTAGAACTGCTAGTTTCCCCCTCGCCTTAGGGCAATGTTTAATCAAAAATTTCAAATGTCCAGCATATTTTATACTTTTATGAATATAGTTAGCCAAAATTACAAATTCAAGCAAATAGAAAACTTTGAGAATACATTATTAAATTTATGTAAAACATTGCAAACAGTAGTATAAATACACAGTATCATTTTTTCTTAGCATCTTTTAGACCAGCACCGGCGTTAAACTTGAAGAAAATTATATCACCGTCTTCAACGACGTAGTTACGGCCCTGTTGGCGATATTTACCAGCTGCTTTGGCAGCAGCCTCTGAGCCTTCTTCTTTGAAGTCAATGAAATGCATTACTTCAGCCATAATAAAACCCTTTTCGAAATCGGTGTGAATACGTCCAGCAGCTTGTGGAGCCTTTGTTCCTTTCTGATAATACAAGAATATAATTTCTTTAATTTTAATTTCACTCTTCTATGTATGTCATACTTTGATTGCTGAGTATATATACCTGAATAGTCCATGCCTTGACTTCATCTGGTCCGGCTGTGAAGAAGTACTCTAGCTGTAAAGCTTTGTAGCCAGTAACAATTATTTTGTCCAGCTGACTCTTGCATTTGACTTCCTCTTCATATTGCTTGCGCTCGAGATCATCTTTCTCAGCTAATGTGTGCTCAAATGCTCCAGAGAATGGAATTATAACTGCGCCGGGATCATACTTATCCACCCACTCTTTTATTTTGGGTAGCCACTTGTTCTTTTTGCGAATAAAGTCTTTCTCTGATAAATTTACCAAGTAAATGACTGGTTTCGATGTAAGGAACATATATTTGTTGAGTGTTTCAATCTGTAATAAAAAAGTATTAATATTGTTCACAACAATTAATATTAGTTTGTACATATGTGTACGTAACATACATCATGTGCATTCCAGTCAGCAAATCGTAAATGCTTTTTCTCATCAACTAAAATGCCTTTAATCTTTAACATTGCATCGTATTCGGGTTTGAGCTTCTTGTCACCACCACGTGCAACTACCTTTTCTAATTTATCTAAATTCTGCAGTAACTTCTCTTCATCTTTTAGACGTAATTCCTCGGAAATGATGTCTAAATCACGTACAGGGTCTACTTCACCTTCTACATGAGTTACATCAGGATCTTCGAAAGAACGACATAAATGGAAAATAGCATCGCAGGCGCTTATGTGCGATAAGAAGGCATTGCCAAGACCTTGACCTTCAGACGCTCCCTTCACCAGACCGGCAATATCGACCACATTGAGGAAGGCAGGCACCTTCCTTAAATATTTAAAGGAAAACAACAATAAGATGTTAATTTCTGTAAATTATTTCATTGAACTCACGAGACCGGCTTGTGATAGTCACACAGAAAATCGAAGCGGTCGTCTGGCACTGGTACCCTACGTAATGAAACAAGAAAAGAATAAGATTAGTCATCACAAAGTCAACGAGCAGCACCATTTTACTCTCGCTACTTCAATGTTTTCGAATTCAGCATTTAGCGAACTTATCTTAATTGAACAACTTAAACAATAACGAGCCTAAGATTTTTTTTTTTTACGGCTGAAGGTAAAACTTGTTTTTATTACTACGAACCATCGTCCATTGGTAATGCCATGTCGCTATTGGAAATGCATTTCAACATAGCCAATCATTGCAATTTCCTATAATTTCCTGTAATTTTAGAATGTCCTCCGGCAGTGAACGCCATTTCGCTTAGGAGACAATCACCTTTCGTATAAGCAAGCTATCATGCCAGACTGCTTTTGGTCAACTTAATACCGGCGAATAGTGACCAGAGCTTTAAATTTTTATTTTGTTTTTGTTTACCATTCGTTTTTTTCCTGCCTGTTGGCAGGCATTTTACGAATCTTTAAATTTTCTACAGGCGTCCAGCGAAGCATTTGCATATGAAATTACCAAGGCCCATTATTGCTTATTTTCCTTTTTCTGCTGTGAAGCAAAACTAAACTCGAATTAAAATAAAGGATTGGTTGGCAATTCTTTCTACAGTGGCCAACGGCAGCACTACGGTTCGTAGAAAAGCGTTTTCACAGGCTGTATGCAGCAGAATAGTGTTCAGCAAATTATAATAATTTTGGACTGCTTTTGAGTAAGTCATGGCGGAAATCTAGGAAAAAGAGATATAAAGAGGAGCGCCCAATGCACGCCCAAAAGAGCTATTTGAAGAGCTCAACAAGACACACCTTCATTTTAGCTCACAGCAGTAAACTTTAATAGACTCACGTCCGCAAAATTGAGCTAAAGTATGCTTCCAGCAGTTGGAGTAAGAACTTGTTCGTGTTTTTGTTATTTCATTTAAGTGGCTTACTTCCAATCCGTATGCAAATTATTATAATTAAAAATATAAAAAACCTACGTACATATGTACTGCAGCGATGCAAGTAGCTTCAGGCTCGCAATATCTAGTTTCTTAAGTGTAACACATCATGGACTTGAACAGATAATTGGAATACTTATTCTCATTTGGATCGATTGTGCAGAAAGGAAAGTTCTCCGCTGGTGCAGCACTTTTGGTCAGTACGTTGAAGAACGTTGACTTGCCAACATTGGGTACACCAACGATACCAATGCGTAGATTTGTGCCAATGCGACCAATTAGTGGTTTACGTTCGGGTTCTTCATGCTTTTTCGGTGGCATTGTGTTGGTTTATGCTGCTGAAAATATTAAAAAGTAAATTAGTCGTACAGTACTGACTACTGTTTATATGTACACGCATTTTGTCTATTTTTGGTAAATATTTGTATAGTTGGCAGCAGCACTTGCGAATTAGAGCTTTTGTTGCTACATAACCTCAACGTCGCGAAACTTACCTTAAAATACTGCCAAATGCACAGGATTTAGTTGAACTATTAAAACAAAGTTATACTAAGAATTAAATAAAAGTTTAATATATTTTAAAGCTAATAAATCACTTAAAAATTACTTTTATTCTGCAACACAGCCGGCACCGAATCAATACGGTCGCACACATGCACGTAAAGAAACGTCAGCTGTCAAATTGGCAAAGCTGTCACTGTTGACTATTGTGAATGGAAAATTATAGTTCGCAATAATAAATACACGGTGAAAATTTATTTCTTATATATGTATAATGATTTTTGAAAAATATGTTACTCTTAGCCGACTTGTTGTAACAGCATACAAAATTAATGCCCACCGTTCAATACTATAAAACTATTAGCTGATTGAAATAAAACCGAAGTGAAAAACAGAAAATATCGTTGGCAGCTCCAATCGGCGCAGCACGGTTCCCAACTTCGATCGACAGTTGGAACTACGTAATGGAAGCGCCCAGATCTACATCTAGCCAAGGATTGTCACTTCAGATGATTCCCTAAAAAGCCTTAGTGGATTCTTATGCTGTTACTACACCTAGAGCAACAACAACGAAGCGGGATTTTTGGACTTTAGGCTCTCTGAGCCGGGTGTGGAAGATGAGAACAAGTGAAGCGACCCATCTTGTGTTGTTGTAGCTCAACATACGAGGGTATGCATCGTACCCTGCACCTTCTGGGTCGGCAATCCTGAGGCCGTGAAATAAGGCGACGTCAATAGGCATTGTCCATAATGCTTCCGGTGTCGAGGTTGTCGGATTAGATATGTATGCGAAGAGGTGTTGGATGTGGCGAAACTTGCCCGCACGCTGGGTTCTACCGTAGGAGGGAAGAGTTGATCCAGTGCCACCACCCAGGACGGAGTTGTGCTTGGGTACATCTAATCTCTCTCGACAGCTCTGTTTCCTTAATATTGATGAACGACGGTCGATCTCCTAGAAAGATGTTGTCCTTACGGGTATTAAGGCTTTTCCTGACTGCATCGTCATGCAGTCTGTTTAGTGGCACTCTATATCACGCTTTGGTAAATGGATCTCTATTCCTTAGTGGCGGAAGTGCCGTGGCGGGATGCGGATCGGAAATTACTTCCATAACAGGGGCTTGTGCTCTTTCACAGCCACCAAATGGCTTTATTCATAGAGATGAAGATCGGATGACATGAGGGGGTAGCATGTAACTGTACGCAGAGCTACGTTCGGGTAGGTTTGTTGATTTTTTCCCTGTATGCCGCGTCTTCCCTTCGAACACACTGGCCACCGACGACTGTTGTTAGTAGAGTCAGTTTTTCGGCTTTCCATATGCTGGCGGCTACCGAATTTAGGGTTTGGTTCTTGGCGCGTGGTTTTTGAGTACAGATGTCTGCGCTAAGAAGGAGAAGAAGCTGTCAAACGTCACTTCCTGCGCCTTTTCGAATTTCGTACTGGTTGGCTGGCTGGTTTAAGTTGCTCCGCCAGGCTGGGAAGGTGTAGCGCTTTCACAGGTTCTGCCACTGGGCATAGGAAAGAAATAAGTATATACGATTCTCCAGAATCCTTCTTCCCTGGCCTAAGAAGGGAAATGACCCTACCCATTTTCCAGATCTCAGAGCTGATAATGGTGAGCAAAGACAAGTTCAAAGCGTCAGTTATGTACTCGCCTTTTTCAAGTGTTAGTTGTTTAGCATTTGCATGGAGATTCCGTCTGGGCCTAACAGCTTGAATGCCTTGGCATTGTTGACAGAGATCTGCGTACCCGATGTTGGTGTGTCGTGGGGTTCACTTCCGCTGCTGCTACAACAACAAATTACTGTTATTGGTTCGTTGGCGATAAAGGCGTTGAGTGCTCCATTGAAATCCATTGTATTCCTCTCTTTTTGAAGGGTGGATAAATATGAAGGTAGAGATGAAGATGAAGGCGAAGATGTAGATCATGTTGAAGATCAAGGTCAAGATGGAGATGAAGATGAACATGAAGTTCAAGGAAAATGCAGAGGAAATTGAAGAGCAAGACGAAGAGGAATAGGTTAGGTCGTTTAGGTATGCTGGCCAGCCACTGCGTGACTTCGCAGTTACGATTAAGGTCCAAGGCGTTACCAGATAAACTTCGACCACTTTGGACAGCTAATCACTGCGTACCAGGAGCAATGTTAACCCTCTAGTAGGCTGAACCGCCTCTAGACGGTCGTTAACTAAACACGTATGTAGTGCACCTATAATAATTTTTTTCTATATTCGAAAAGCACCATCTTTAGAAAAAAAAGCGTACCTTTACGACGATGTAAATTTTAATCCGTTATGTCAATCCGTTTTATTTTAATCGGCAGTTGAATCACAGATTGTGAAAGACTCGGTTAAAATTAATTATTTCTTGCTATTAAGTAATTTCGTAATTAAAGAAATTTTTTCTTTTGAAACATTTTTTGATACAAAAAAATTCAGTGAGTTTCGTAGTTAAAAGCGCAGTATTTTGATATAAGTTTTATAATTATGTCACCATTCGAAATGGAGAAAATTGCTTTCGAACACAGACCGTCTACAGACCGGCTTGCCGACATATCAAAACCCAGTTTGCATTTTGACCGTCTGCAGTCGGGATTGCCGGTTCGTAGGTCAACATTCTGTACGAGAAAGCTGAAAATACGTCAAAGTATATCGGCGAGCCCGTCTCCAGACGGTCTTGGTTTTTCTCCCCTGTTGGAAAAAGTTACTGTCACAGATCGAAATGGACATCATTTTTGGATTTCTAATTTTTCTAAAATCACACATTCCTGAATTTTTCAACTCATACGAAAATTGGCCTACTAGAGGGTTAAAGAATATCGCAGTCCTTTTGGCAAACTGAACACCTTGTTGTTGATAGTGGCTTCCAGATTAGGTAGAAAACCTGCTCCCAGCAGACTAACCCATAGTCTGTTAAGGGCAGAACTCTCGCAGAGGATATGCTCCTAGTTTTCTCTTTTGTTACACATCTTCTACAGATGTTGTCATTATTAAAGGCCAGTTTAAAGGCGAGCGATGCCAGCAAGCAATGTACAGTTAGAACACCAACCAGTAGCCTAGCGTTCTCCCTCTTGAGGGAAAGGAGAGACTTCGTGAGCTTCATGTCATAAGCTCTGCGAATAATCCTGGACACCTTGCAGCCTTGCCTATTGTTCCACGCCTTTTGCGCCGTCCGAATCATGGACAGGTCGAGATCCCGTTTAATCACTTGAAGGGAAATCGGCACCTCCTCTATCAGGATAGTTTTCGACACAGCACCTTCGTTGCCCGCGACGCCAATATGCAGCGGAACCCAGTACATATGTATGAAAAGTAAGAGATTGATGAAGGTGGAGAAGAAGATGAAATGAAGATGACGATGAAGAAGAAAATAAAGATCAAGATGAAGATGAAGATGAAGATGAAGATGAAGATGACGATGAAGATGAAGATGAAGATGAAGATGAAGATGAAGATGAAGATGAAGATGAAGATGAAGATGAAGATGAAGATGAAGATGAAGATGAAGATGAAGATGAAGATGAAGATGAAGATGAAGATGAAGATGAAGATGAAGATGAAGATGA